GGCTAAGACCGGTGCTTGTGTGAGCCTCTCCTTCAACGTGTTGAAAGACTGATCTTGAGCTTCTCCCCATGAGAAAGGCACATTCTTTTTGATCACAGCAGTCATTGGCGCAGCCACTGTACTAAAGTCTCTGACAAACCTTCTGTAGAAACTTGCTAGTCCATGAAAGCTACGGACGTGTCCAATAGTTGTTGGAGTAGGCCATTCACGGATTGCCTTGATCTTCTCCTCATCTACCTGTAGGCCATGTTTACTTACTACAAAACCTAAGAACACACACTTGTCAGTACAAAAGGTGCACTTCTTCAGGTTAGCATAAAGGCCTTCCTTCCGAAGCGTTTTTAAAATCAACGCTAAATGTTGAACGTGATCAGAATAGCACTTACTGTAAATAAGTATGTCATCAAAGTAAACAACAACAAATTTACCAATAAATGACCTTAGAACCTGGTTCATTAAACGCATGAAGGTACTTGGTGCGTTAGTCAGCCCGAATGGCATAACAAGCCACTCATAGAGACCTTGCTTGGTTTTGAAGGCTGTCTTCCACTCGTCTCCTTCTCTCATTCTAACTTGATGATAGCCACTCCTTAAGTCAACTTTGGAGAAGATGGTTGCACCACTAAGCTCATCCAACATGTCGTCTAGTCTCGGGATGGGGTGTCGGTACTTGATGGTGATATTGTTGATGGCACGACAGTCTACACACATCCTCCATGTACCGTCCTTCTTTGGAACTAATAGGACAGGTACCGCACACGGGCTGAGACTCTCTCTGATGTATCCTTTTTCCATTAGATCACGCACTTGCTTTTCTAGCTCCTTTGATTCCTCCGGATTCATCCTATAGGCTGGTTTGTTAGGTAAAGCAGAACCTGGAACGAGATCGATCTGATGCTCTATGCCACGAATAGGAGGTAGCCCTGGTGGAATCTCCTCCGGAAATATGTCTTTGTATTGATCTAGTACAGCTTGTACCTCAGCGGGTAACTCGATGTCACCTAAACCTGTACTAAGACATTCTTTGAAAACCATTAGTAGCACGGTGCCATTGGCACTCATGGTTTTACAAACATCATTAGAGCTTAAGTAAAGACTAGAATTCCTTACCTCTTCCTCCTTGTTCATGTGAATTTGTAATTCATGAACTTCTGAGGGACTTAGGGGGGCAAGGTTATACTTACGGTCCTTGTAGGTGAAAGAATAATGGTTGGTACGTCCGTTATGACATGTAGCTCGGTCAAACTGCCATGGTCTTCCAAGGAGAAGATGGCCGGCTCTCATTGGCACTACGTCACAAACGACTTGATCTTGATATTTTCCCACGCTGAATGATACAGTCACTTGTTCAGCAATTTTTAGCTCGGTGTCGTCATTGAGCCATCTAAGCTTGTATGGTCTCGGATGCTTTGTTTTCTGAAGACCTAACCTGTCTACCATGTACTTGCTAGCAACATTAGTACAAGAACCTCCATCAATAATTAAGTTACATACCTTGTTCTTGATGGTGCATCTAGTGTGGAAGATGTTTTCTCGTTGCACCTTCTCTTCGGGGTTGACAAACATACTCAATGTCCTACGGATGACAAGGAGTTCTCCTACATCCGGGTACTCAACGTCCTCATCATGTTCATCTGATCCCTCCTCTTGCTCATCTTGTGACTCGTAGTCACCACTAGAAGTGAGAATCATCACCCTTTGGTTCGGACATTCTCTCGCCATGTGTCCCCTACCTTGACATTTGAAACAAGTAATGTCACGAGAACGAGATTGATTAGTACTAGGGAACTTACCTGGTTCAGGCTTAGAGGTTTTAGGCGCCTCATTAGACTTGTTCTTGAACTTAGAATCATTGTCTACGGCTTTGCCTTTATCCAAGGTTCGGTTGTTGCTTGTATTCCAAGGCGTGTTGTTTCTTGAACGGTTGCTTAAGGATGTCTTACGCTTGATTTGTTGCTCCACTTGTACAGCTAAGTGTAACAACTCGTGGAGTCCATTGTATTTAGCTCTCTCCACCTTCCTTTGAATCCTCTCTTGTAGTCCGTCTATGAATTGAGCCATGAGAGATTCGTCGGATTCTTCTATCTCCAAGGAGTTCATGAGCTTCTCAAACTCCTCAAAGTACTCATCCACGGTCCTTGTTCCCTGAGACAATTTTCTAAAACGTTTTTGTAAGTCTCTATGATAATGATCAGGGATATACCTCAACCTTAAGAGGTATTTCATGTCTCCCCAATTGCTTATGGGATCAAATCTTTGTCTCCTCCGGTCAGCTACTGTCCTATCCCACCAAGACAAAGCATTTTCGGTGAGCTGAGCGGCTGCTAAGGCCACCTTTCGAGCATCTCCATATCCATAGCAATCGAATATGTATTCCATCCGTCTCTCCCAGTCCATGTACGCCTCTGGATTTGATTTTCCTGCAAAAGTAGGAGGTATTAGTTTGATATCTCGGTTCTGCTCACGGGGCTCCACTCTCCGTGCATGGTTCCTCATCAATGGATCTTCTCTCCGTTGATGTTGACGTCTCACAGGATCGGGTGGTGGATCATCATCATCATCCAAGTCAGGAAACTCGTCCGCCTCTTCGCGGGCATTCCTTTGAGCCTGATCCGGTCTAACTTCAACCCTGGGTTGGGGCTGCTCCAAACGGCCTAGCCTTTGCCCTAATCCTCTTATCTCCGCCGTCATAGTAGCCATCATTTGCATCATGGCGTTTTGAGGTATAGCTGCTTCGTCTCCCATAGTGTATGCCTAAAAGTGATCTGCACTTAGACAAAAACAACAAAGGAATCAACGTACCACAAGAATTGAAAGGAACAAGTCGAAAACAAGAAAGCTAGAACTTGCTGACGCACTTCCTGAGGTACTTCTTGACTCACTTGCTAATACAGAACGAAATTAAATAACTAAACTTTTTTTTTTTTTTTTTTTTTTTTAATATTATCAAATTAAAACAAATAATTGACAGGAAATATCAATGCAACAAAAAACTGAAAGCAATTTTTTTTTTTTTTTTTTTTTTATGAAGAAAATAGTACGCAAAATGAATTAAACAATTAATGGAAACAAACTATGATTTTTTTTTTTTTTTTTTTTAAATATAAAACTCAATGAAATAACCTAATAAACTATTATGCAGCAAACGATTTTTTTTTTTTTTTTTTTTTTAATTAAATAAACAGAAACTGAACTAGTACAGAAACTGATTCAGAAACTAATGCAGAATATAAAGGAAACGATAGAACCTGGCAAGGGAAGAGCAAACCAATGCTCTGATACCAGATGATACAAGACTCGGTGGTGAGACTAGTATCGGGATAGATATGGTGGCTTCACAAGCTGGCAGTCGCTTCTCTCTTGTGAAGGATTGATGGTCGATGATGTAGATCTAACACGATGGCGGTCGCTTCTCTCGTGTGGGATCGAAATAGATGAAAGTGATGGCGGATTGAAGTACACCACAGAGATGTGATTGGTCTCTGATACAGTACACGAACTCAGCCTTGGTGAATCACACACACAAGACAAAGAACAAGCTTATTCTCTTAAGAACACTTAAAGAGAAGAAGTAAGAAAATTCGGGTTCTTTATTGATAATCAAGGGTGAAAAATCGTACAACTGCTGCAGGGGGACTTTATAAGAGTCCTTCAGCTAGCCCTAGGGCCGAAAATAAATGCAAAAAACACAAAAAAGGAAGCAAATAAAAGCAAAACACAAAAACCATTGTTTTTAGAAAGAAAATAACTAAATAAGGAAACTACTTAAACTCTCTTGAGGAGCACGTTGTGGTGACGAATCTAGCCGTTGTGTGGGCTTCTTGGACCTGCAAAGATAGTATAAATTGAATAAAACTTACCGGGATGCGTTTTAGGCCCAATAGATGTTCTCTGAGTCACTTCCTGTAGTACTCTCTGACCTACTTCAGGAGTCATGTCTTGTGCTCGTTTACTTGTTGGTTTCTTGAAGTAGGGGCCTTCCTGGTGTTCCTCTTGAGTATCTTGATCAGTGTCTTGGAGCTCTTCCACGTCCTTGGTGTCTTGGTCTTGATCTTGACTCTCTTGATCACTCTCGGAAGTGAAGCTTGTCTCGTACGTCTCCTGCAGCTCCAAAGTCTTCTCTTGCCTTCTAGGGGCTTCTGGACCTGTCATAGAAGATTTCATACCTTGGGGAGTAGTTCGTTCAAGACTCATTTGGGTGAATGCTTCGGCAAGCTCTTCTTCGGCTATTGGATCATATCCTGTTTGGGGTGCTACGGACCAGTTTACTTCCTCCAGCTCTAAGGAGCTTAGAATGTCTTGCACAGCTAAGTTGAACCTTTTTTTGAGTTGTTTAGACTTTGAACGTGTCATGGGACCTGCTGGGACTTCTGGTACAGGATGTGGTACAGGATGTAGTTCAGCATGTAGTTCAGCAGTTTGGTTAAAGTCGATGTCCGCATCAAAGGCCGTATCTCAAAAGCAAGAAAGTGTGTCTGGTCTAGCATTCTGATCAGAAATATTATATGCATTTTTTTTTGAGCAAAGAAAAAGAAAAGAAACAACAACAAAAAAGACCAAATGATAATAATTAAGAAAAAGATTAATAATGGGTTAATAATTGGCCAATCTCATTACAGAACAGAAGTCATAGCCGTCGTCGTCTGTGTCTTGTCTCTTATTTCAAAAGAAAAAAAAAGAGAGACAAAGGAAAGAGAATTGCGCTCTCTGTTACTCTCATCGATTCTACAAAATCTCCGTCCTCTCCAAATTACAGGGTTTCTTCCTCAAACCCAGATTATCACTTTCCTAAATTTGAAGGTGTGTTTTCTTCGATTTTTCAAAATCTTTCCTTTTTTTTTGTATAATCTTTAGTCTGCTTTCACCGACACTTGGTTACCTTCCTCGAGTTCTCTCAATGGTTTTTGTTTATTTTGGTTTCTCTATCAATGAAATGCTTAAGCTTTTGCTGTCTATATTCCTTCTGTGAGTATAAGAGCTCAAAACAAGCTACTACGAGTCTAAATCTAGTGTTTGGTCTTAAATGTGTCTCTCTTCTAATGTGGCGCAAGTTAAATTTCCATTTTGTTTCAGGTGTTCCCATCGCTGCAAAGCCTTGGTACTCATGAAAGTGTTCTTTAGTTCTTAGTTATATTAATCACTAAGCTCGGGAATTTTAACTGTATAATCAAAGATTTTATTTATTAACTCAGCTTCCCTCAGTGTTTACAAGTTACAAAAGTTATTGATTGTAGAAGTCTTCTGTTCCTTTTGGCAGTATCTTTTGGCCTTCAAGGCGTTGAGAACAAACCAGAGCTCAAAACGGGTGCACTCTGTTGTATCGTGGCCTCAAGGCCATTGGTTACAACAAAATTGTCACCCCGCAGCGCAAGGGATATTCCTCAATCAAGTCAAGCCGATGCCTTGCAATGGCGGACGAATTTCAGCTTCTCACCTGCTGGCTTGGAACAAGAAACGCGCGATGAGAGTCCCGCTTTTGCATTCTACTCAAGCAGCAGTAGACAGAGAAAAAGTTTGGAATTCAGGTTTCAGGAATCGCCAAGATGGGCTTCAAACTCATCTGCTTCTGGTGGGAATGAACAGAAAACCTCCATTGTTGATAGTATACCAAGACCAACTAACTCAAATCCTCAATGCTTAAACGAGGTAATTCGAGTCTTCTTAACACATCAAGTACATTAATCTTGAAGATGAGCTTTTCTTGATTTCATCTTTGTCTGAACCTTGTCGCTCTTTGATGTAACTGTGTCTCAGGAGAACGGTTTTGATAGAGAGAGTACAGCCATCTCAACGAGTTTCAGATCTTTGCTGTCTCTTTCAGAGTCATCTGCCCCATGGGAGACTCCAAGCAAGCAGTCTTCCAGCCTTACTCACTGCTCTTACCCTCGAGTCTTCTGCAACCCGGTTTCAGTTTGTGAGAATCCTGAACCCGATCATACACAAGAAGATTCGTCCACAAATCTTGATTCCAGTTTCATGATGTCCACAAGAAACCACCAAGTAGAGGAAGAAGTATCACCAAACTCGAACAGCAATGACATGTTGCTAGATGTTGAAAGGCCCAATGATACAGAAGTCGAAAACCCGAGATCTGAACCAGGTTCAATGACACATCAGAGATGCGGCATTTGCAAGAAGCTTTTATCTCAGAAATCTCCATGGAGCTCATACAAGATACTGAGATCCAGAGACATGCCAGCCGCTGGTGTTTTCCCCTGCCATCACGTCTACCATGTGGAATGTTTAGACAAAGTGACTCCAACAGCTCAAACCCGAGACCCGTCTTGTCCTGTATGCTCAAACACCATTGGAGCAATGGAACAGCCACTGATAGCACCAGAAACATTGCAAATGGCTCTAAGATCTCTCAGAAGAAGCCGCACAGCTTTGGAATTAGAGACAGTAAGTATCCCTTGCAATAACAATCAAAGAAGACACAGAAGCCAGAAATGGGAAAAACTCAGCTGCTGTTTGAATATAAGCTTCTCATCTTCTTCCTAGAATCCAACATGACCCGATTCTATTAGGTTCTTCTACAACCCTTACTTGGATCTAATCCTAGTTAACCATAATTTGATTCAGTACACGCCATCATAACAGAAAGGCAGAATCTTTTTGGTGTCTCTAGAGAATGTTTAGGAAACTACAAACAGAAGCACATTTATCTACTTGTAGACCAATATAATTCCTACTCTGTATTTGCAGGCGTGAATTAGATTTCTCAAAGAAATATTAAACAAAGAGCAACGACAATGGACTTTGATATGAAAGATTAAAATTCGTATAATCGATGAGAGGGGACAAAAAAAAACAAAAATAACAAAAACACAGAAAAAAAAAACCTTTGAATCAAAATCTAAAATTTTCGAAACACACATAAATATTGTTTTTGGGTGTTAAAGCTCGCATTAGCCATCACAGCGCCGAGTAAAATCGTGCACTCAGGCAGCAAGCAGTCTTCATCGCAGAAAACAAAGGGAAAATAACGATTAGGCAATCGAAACCTTTCACGTCACCGGAGCCGCCAGCCAAACCCTCGAAAAGGAAGGAAATTGGGGTTGCTCATTGGCCGGAAAAAGGTCGAAAACCCTAACGATAAACCCTTTTTCTCAGCTCAGATAAGATCAAGTAGTTTTGAAGCTTTGAGTGATTTGGTTGCTCGAATTTTATAATGCCTTTTGGTCAAAAACCCTAACCCTAATTCCCGAAATCTCTTCCTGAAATTCCAAAATTACCCTCGTGGAAATTTAACAAAATAGAGCCAAAATTGTTCAAATACTAAAAATAAACCCCATAGCTTCTGAAATATCAAATTAATCCGCTTTTATTTAATACCAGAGAGTTGTATTTACACCAAGAAGCTCTCTCTCAATGAAAAGGTTTGACATACAAAATGGAGAGAAAGAAAATAAGAACAAAAGAGAGAGAGCTGTGCTGTGTGATTTACAGAGGAGAAGTTGTAGACTTTTGCATTTTGCTATCCTTTTGTGCTTGTGGTGGCTGAGACGAATGGACTGCAGCTCGGTATGAAGATGAAGCGAGCTGTGCCAGTGCTGGTACAGTGCCACCTGCAAACATTCCCCCCAAAAGAAAGATGCAGCATTCAAGATTTAGAGAGCTTATTGACACAAAACCAAAGATAATATATCATATGAATAGACCGGTTTCATTCGTCCCGTGATTGAAATTGATCAAAAGTAGTGGATGAAGAGGAGAAGAAGATCTCAAACCTGCTAGTCCAGCACAGGCTGATGAAAGAACTATAACAGGAGGTGCCTGCATCGATACATAAATGAAAAAAAACATCAATAGTAGCATTTGACTAAACAATTTACTGGTCTTCTTCGCGGACGGTTTGTGTATGTAACCAGCGCGGAATACGAAAAGAAGAGAACATAAGAATGGAATTTTGCATCTTTGTTGATAACTTACCCCAACAAGAAAATGTAACCACATGGGTCCTTTGATCCACTTGCGTACAATTGGCATTGCTGTTTTCATCAACAAGAGCATTAAAATAAGTACAAATAGATTCAGGCTCTTTCAAGCAAGCTTTAAATCTAACTGCTACCACTATAACCAAAACATAGCTAGAAAACAAGTACAGATAAAAGAACATCGATTGTTACAGCAGTGGAACATAATCCACATGATTACTTATTGTCTTTGAGAAACATTCTAACACATTCCAACACTCTTTGTTTCTCCAAGGCATACAAGAATCATAATAACTAGCGCATATTACAAGGTGGAAGTTGATTACACAGGAATACACAATCAACAGGAGAAGAACAAAACTCGAGAATTGAAAGCAATCAACCGAGATAACAATCAATGAGGGATTAAAGTCAGAGAAACTCTGCATACCATGGTTAAATCCAATGAATGCACTTGCCGTACCACCAACAGCTGATCCAATCTAAGAACAAAAAAAGTAAAACTTTACAACATAAAATAAACTTATCCATTTGATCCATATGAAACAGAAACAAAAGGAAACTTTGCATATTCAAAGACCTACGGTTAGAGTAAAAGAGTGGGACTTTTCTTTCCCCTAAAAAATTAAAATTTCTCAAATTTCTTGAAAGAAACTAACCATTGAAAAGCTATCCCTGATGAACGGAGCCACAGTCCATTTACTGGTTTCCTGAAATCAATCAGCTTCCAAGTTAAAAAAAAAAAAAAACGAATCTTACTCTATAAATCTGTATATAATGGCTGCAGAAAATACCAAATTTTTCGTAAGAGGGCCTGCGCAGTGATGGCATCTGATTTCGATATCATGCTCAGAATCCGTCATTTACTTAGACGAAGAAAGCTCGAGAAACCCAGAACAGATTTGTTTTTGGGTCGTAGGGTTTATACTCTGTTACTGTTTCCTTCTTCCTCTGTTCAACAAGAAAGAGAGTCCACCGATCGATCACCTCCGGTTTAGACCATTTTAGCTCAGTAAACCGAGTCGGTCCAACCGTAAACTGTGGAGACATTAAACAGTTTCTTTGGACCGGTCACAGAACCGGTTAATTCAGCTTCATCTATTTTTAGCTTAAAAGGTGGATGTTTATGCCATTCCAGAGGGTTAAAAAGTATTATCCAAAGTTTTTATCTATGGAATCTTACTTCTCCATGTTCCAAAGGGTTAGAAACAACTTTTGAAATAAAATGTTTAAAACGAATATTAAAGAAAGTAAACGAACCAAAAGAATGTGGATACTACCAACTACTTGCAACTAGACATTCAGCTCTTTATAATGATCCGACTTGTCGAATTTAGCCAGCATTTGCGTTTGCAACCAGTCGCGCCATGCCCTCTTCGATTTTTTATAGTTCCATAATATTCAAATCAAAATCACAAAACTGCTACATGATTCGGTTGGATGCAGACAACACTGTCTTGTGGTGTACACTAAACTCCTACAATGATTCTCTCAATCTTTTGTTGTGTGCTTATAAGAATCACAATTCATTAAAATATCCACAAAAACCACTGAGTAAAACGAGACTAAGTAAAAGCGGAAAGAAATTGACCCGAATAGTCTCTCTTTTTTTTTGGGTTCGGGTTGAGATGAACAAAAAAGATTCTTGAGTTGAGAATGCGACTCACCAAGCTTTCTTTAGTTTTGGATTCTCATATTCTCATTCTCTAGAATCTCATTAACCCACTTTTACTCTCCATTTTCTCTCCAAAAGAATATAATTCCGCGGTCATTTCCCGCTTCCTCTTGTTTTATGTATCCAATCCTCTTTCGTTCAATCAAGCGAATCACAATCCCACGTGTTGAATTATGCTCCCTACGGAAGATCAAACAGTAATTAAAGTTAGTAAACAAGAACAAGAATCTGTCAAAGGGAAATGAACGTACAAAGAAGAACATTTTGTCTGTATCACTCTTTTCTTTCACTGAAACAGTAGAAAGACTACATAATTAAGCACAAAGTAGTATAACACATGTGACCAAGATCTAACAGTTACAAAAAAAGGCGATAACATTTCGTAAAAACGAGTTAAGCTCTAGTTCTGAAAAAACACAGCATCTTCTATTGACTGATATTATCAGCCCAAAATCTGGAACAGACCCTGCTATAAAAAGCGTACACAAAATTTGATCTTTTCTGAAACTACATTTGATATAGAACAGATTATCAATCTGGTTAAAGTGAAACCAATCAAAAGAGTTCAACACAATTTGTTTGCTTAGTCTAATTCACTTTTGATGGTATTCAAATAGACTTTTGAAACTTGCAGCACACAACATGAAGCCTCTCTTTGTGGAAGCATATTCCCACTCACATGCCAATCAACTATTTAGGCAATATGCTCAAATACTTTTAACTGAAGGTTATGAAAGGTTCTTCACCAAACAGAATAAAGTGTTAATGAGAAATCAGAACCATGAGATTTCACCAAAAAAAGATTGAAAAAAAATGCAAAGATATCATTCAAGGAACATAAGATTTGTTTTTTTTTTTTTTTGACATTTTCCTTTAAAACAATAGACCATATTTCTACCTAGTTTTATTTTTTGTAAGGCATCTATCAAACTCATTAAGATATGTGAGACTCTATACTAGATAGTGGATATATTCTCAATTGCACATAGAGAAGCCATAATTTCAGCATTTGGCAATCACGACTTGTATATTTATATATCTTTATCTATGAACTTATTCTATATAGCTGTATATCATATAGGAGAGTATCTCTATACTTAATCAGGCAGGAGAAATATAATAGTGAAGTCCAAATCAAAATCAGATCCAACACCACAATATGATCGATGATGGAATTTAGAGCCGTAGTCACCACTAAAGTAGATTCAGGGAAGTACACTGTAAGAAAGCAGCTAAACATTAGATGCATATATGCTTCACGAACTTATACATATATACATGTAATAATATGTACATAAGCACACACAAACAATACATACAAATATGCACTATGACATGTTATGTTGCATTCAGAACAGACAGAAAGGTTACACACATACATAAACACAAACATCCATGCATACATAGATTAACAAATTCTGGATGAGCCAAATATGTTGTGCCAATCAAAGAGTGTAAGATATGGGCCCCCCACTAATTTTTATACTATTTAGAGAGAATAGGTACTAAACTTGTTGAAGGAGACAGCATGAAATATTCTACATTCGTTTTCTCAATTATCTTTCAAGACAAAACAATGTTGAAACATAAACTTTCATTCCCCTTGCTATCACATACTTGAGTATTCTTCCTGATAAAATAATACAAACATAATCACTATACCCACTTCTCTAGAAACATGGCCAAATAAGCCATTATTGATTTTGGTCAAACCTAACTTAAAGTTTCAATAGAAATTGTTTAGACTTAAGATGTATGTAGAGACTGAAAAAATGACTTTCAAGTAGGAACAAAAACAATACAGACAAGTGGAAAGTATTGAGAATATACCTCAAGAGATAGAGAGGTTAGAGCTGTGGACTTTGAAAAAATTGAGGAATAAGGAAAAAGAATGAATTCCCCTGCCCAAGTAGAAAAGTTGTCAAAAAGATTTGGAGAATAAGATACTTTCATATACCAGAATGGTGAAAGAATGCGCATATGATGCATTAATTTTGGATCAATTCCGGTATCTAATGCAAGGCTCGAATTGCACTGAAAAGTTGTAGTCCAGAGGAATCAAAACAAGAAAAAATAATGTAAGCACACAACGTACAGTTTAAACGATAAGAACACAAATAACAAAGCAACGATTGGACCAGTTATTCATATTCCATACCTTAGTTATCATCATCCTCTAATTTGCCTTTTTTTCCATTCAACTTTCTATATAAAGCAAAGTTGCAAAGACTTTTTACTCTTGAGAGACCCCGGCCTGAGAGAAAAAGAGCATAAATAAGGAAAGCAGCAAAGACATCTTCCCAAGTTGGTGGAGTTGCAAACCATAGTGTATCTCTGAACTGAGAGCAGCAGGTTGCAATTAAAAACTAAAGATTGTGTCAGGTAAAAGAAAAACATTTGGTCTTTACACTCATTATTAATGCAGTATTGCTAGGTGGGATAAACTTACCTTTTTATTTTGAAGACAGACTTATGTATTACCAAAACCAGCACCAAGGAAAGAGCATCCTCTCTTCATCGAGAATGCCCATTCATTCTGAAAGGAATCCGTTCCTCAGGGGAAATGGCACAGGAGATTCTGGACTCATCCTCTCAACTGATGCAAAGCCAAGACTAAAATGGACTCCAGATCTTCACGAGAGATTTGTTGAAGCGGTCAACCAGCTTGGAGGAGGAGATAGTAAGCTATATTATAAGCAAATGAACCATCTTTGACAATCAGGCTTTTTAGACATAATGTATTAATGTGTATATTTTTGTCTCTGCAGAGGCTACTCCTAAGACAATTATGAAAGTCATGGGTATTCCAGGCCTTACCTTATACCATCTCAAGAGTCATCTTCAGGTAAGCCATCAACACTTTATACAGTCATATGCCTAAACTCATCAGGTTTCTAGCTTGGTAGAAAACTGTTAAAGTAGCACAAAAATGACGATATGTCAAGATGTGAAAAATCTTTAATATCTGTTTTGCTTTTACAAAGATTATTAATATCATGATTTGACTACCAGAAATATAGGCTAAGCAAGAATCTTAATGGACAAGCTAACAGCAGTTTAAACAAGACAAGTAAGCTTAGTTATTCATTACTCAGAAACAAGAATAATTACATCTATTAATTTCCTTTTTTTTAATAATATTTTCCTTCAAGTAACTAAAAAGGTAACCTGGTTTAGGTGTGATGACCATGGTAGAAGAAAACCCCCCTGAAGTAGACGAAAGTCACAGTGAGAGTTTAAGCATTGGACCACAGCCGACCATGTAAGAATATGGCTATTTTCTTACATATTCTAACTTACTAGATTTCAAAAAAATAACCTATATTTGTGCACACAGGAACCTGCCCATAAGTGATGCCCTTCAAATGCAAATAGAGGTTCAGAGAAGGCTACACGAGCAACTTGAGGTATCATATACTGTACTCTGTGCATTCACCCTGTTAAAAGCAGCGATCAGTGTTGGTAACAACAATAATGTTTGGAACTTCTGTTCCTATATTTGTTCAAACAAGACCAATCAAGATGAAAAAGATATCACAAACTCTCATAAATGTGTGCTGTTCATTTATCTGTGGATAGGAACAATTTACAAATTATCCTCAAACATGTAGAGATCAGTGAAAATCATAAGTATAGAGGCTAGAAGAAGTATATAAAAACAGAGAGAACAAAGCATTTAGTTACGATTTCATTAAAAATATTTTAAACTGAGCCAGGTACAGCGACATTTGCAGCTCAGGATAGAGGCTCAAGGAAAGTACCTGCAATCGATTCTGGAGAAAGCACAAGAGACTCTTGGAAGACAGAACCTAGGTGCAGCTGGGATTGAAGCAACAAAAGCTCAACTCTCAGAATTAGTATCTAAAGTGTCAGCAGAATATCCAGACTCTAGTTTCCTCGAACCGAAAGAACTCCAGAATCTACGCCATCAACAGATGCAAACAACCTATCCACCTAACTCCTCCCTGGACAGTTGCCTAACCTCAAGTGAAGGAAACCAGAAAGCCCCAAAGATGCTTGACAACAGACTGGGATTAAGAACATATATCGGAGATTCAACTTCAGAGCAGAAAGAGATAATGGAAGAACCATTCTTCCATAGAATGGAGCTCACATGGGCAGAAGAAGAAAGCCTCAGAGAGAGTAACAATAGGCCATATCTTTCGACAATGGTTAACAATGCAGAACCGAGAATCTCGTCATCAAGAAGAAGCCCTGGAAGATTGTCAATAGGAGTGGGATTACATGAACACAGAGGAGGGAGTAGCAACAACAGTGAGTATACAGAAGAAAGATTCAACGAGAATGGTGAAGATTGCAAGCTTGAAACACACACAAGAACAGCTCTAGATCTTAACACACACGACGAAAACTATGGCACAACACGTCCGAAACAGTTTGATTTGAATGGTTTCAGCTGGAACTGATAAGAACATAGAAGCTTAAAGACTGCAACAACCTTTTTATGATAATCACACAGGAAATGAAAAGCCTTTGATTTCCTTTGTTAGATTGAGAGATTCGTCTAAAATTGAATTATATTAGTTGAACCAAAAGAGACAATCTTGTGCAAACATGTGTAACACCATTTATATACAGATAAATTTACTAACTTCATGGAAGATATTGAAATTCTTGAGAGAAGGACGTAAAGCTCCGTGCTTTTAATCAAATTCGGACATCAACAAAGCAAGAACATACCCATAAATGTGTAAGCATTCTCTTGCTTCTGAGAAGCAACGTAGCCAATCGGAGAGAAACCGGAAAGTGAGGAACGAACGGCCGTCCAACGACGAGAGTTTGGGACTGTCTAACGCCTTTTTTTCAAACCGGGTCGGTCGGGTTGGGTTAACCTGGTTTTATCCGATTTGGGGCAAGAGGACCCCATTTGTTTCCTCAAAGAGTGACAATGTCATGTTTCGTCCTGAAATTTTAGTAGGCACTTAATTCCACCCATTATATTTTTCTTGGACCACATAAACAGACATTGCAATTTTGTTTTAGAAAAAAGCATAAGGAACTATAATTATTTTTACTGATTTAAATAATTCATTATGATCCCATGATAGAATTTTATATAAATGAATCTAATTTAAAGTGAAAATAAAAAAGTTTTATTTCATCGGCAATAAGAAAAAAGAAAAAAGAAACATATAATTGGTTGACTTTGTTATAAATAATTACTTTATATTATGGTGTATATAAATATAAATAATGGAGAAAGAATTTATACCCGCAGAAGGATCGGGATACTGAAAATAAAGAGATGAGAGGAGGAGAGAGATTTCTTATAACTTCTTATTGTTGAAGTATGAATTGTGATTTACAACGAACGAATTCGTTCGTTTATATAGGCAGGAAAAAGTAAGTTACTATGCATGCATAGTGACGGTGGGCTCCACACAAATTATATTTTACTCTTAATCTTTTGCACGCGTAGCGTCTATTGTTGACGCTGTATTTTTCTGACTTTTGTAACACTCCCCCTTGGAGACCAGTGTCACTATGTCTCTTGCGTAATATCTTCTGTTGCCTCGTTAAAAACCTTTCTAAGTAACCCAGTGGGAAAAACCTTAGTAGGTAAAAAGAGTACAACGACGTAGTCTCCCCCTCGAGTGATCAACTTTACAGATCTCGTTGGTGGCGCATTCCAATAGCATAGAGATGCTTCTTGAACACCGAGGTAGGTAGTGATTTTGTGAAGAGATCTGCAGCATTGTCACATGATCGGACATATTTGACTTCAATGTCTTTATTCTTCTCAAGTTCTTGGGTGTATGAAAAGAATTTCGGAGGGATATGTTTGGTTCTATCACTTTTGATATATCCTTCCTTCGTTTGGGCAACGCATGCAGCATTATCTTCATATAGGATGGTTGGCTCTTTGTTTACGTTGATCCCACTGCTTGATTGAATGTGTTGGCTTATTGATCTCAACCATACACATTCTCTACTTGCTTCATGTAGTGCAATGATTTCAGCATGATTCGAAGAAGTAGCTACAAGCGTCTGCTTCTGAGAACGCCATGATATAGCGGTACCTCCAATCGTGAATACGTATCCTGTTTGTGATCGAGCTTTGTGTGGATCTGATAAATATCCTGCATCTGCAAAACCAATCATTTGACCATTTATATTTTTAGGATAGAATAACCCTAAATCAATAGTCCCTTGAAGATAACGAAAGACATGTTTAATCCCATTCCAATGTCTTCGTGTAGGAGATGAACTAAATCTAGCCAAAAGATTGACTGAAAATGATATATCAGGTCTTGTACAATTCGCAAGATACATAAGGGCTCCAATTGCACTTAGATATGGTACTTCAGGACCAAGTATCTCTTCATTTTCCTCATGCGGTCGAAATGGATCACTCTCAACGTTAAGTGATCTAACGACCATAGGAGTACTAAGAGGAGTTGCCTTATCCATGTTGAATCGTTTTAGCACTCTTTTAGTATACGTGGATTGGTGCACAAATATACCCTTTTGGGAATGTTCAATTTGTAGGCCAAGACAAAACTTTGTTTGTCCGAGATCTTTCATCTCGAATTCCCCTTTTAAATAGTTTGTTGCTTTCTGTATTTCATCTTGAGTCCCGATTATGTTTAGATCATCAACATATACCGCGATTATCACAAATCCGGAATTTGTTTTCTTTATGAAAACACATGGGCATATAGGATCGTTCACGTATCCTTCTTTTGTTAAATGTTCACTGAGACGATTATACCACATTCGCCCAGATTGCTTTAACCCATATAATGATCTTTGCAACTTTATTGCACATAACTCTTTTGGTTTAGATTTCAATGCTTCTGGCATATTAAACCCGTCGGGAACTCTCATATAGATATCTGTATCTAATGATCCATACAAATATGCTGTAACAACATCCATGAGACGCATTTCTAAATTTTCATCAGCCGCTAGACTCATCAAGAATCTAAACGTTATTGCATCCATAACGGGGGAATATGTTTCCTCATAATCAATCCCGGGTCTTTGAGAAAATCCTTGAGCTACGAGACGAGCCTTGTATCTCGTAATTATATTTTCCTCATTTCGTTTTCTAACGAAAACCCATTTGTATCCAACCGGTCTCACATCTTCAGGTGTGAGTACAATAGGTCCGAATACATTTCGCTTGTTGAGCGAATCAAGTTCGACTTGTATTGCATCTTTCCATTTTATCCAGTCATGTCTCCTTTGACATTCATATACCGACTTTGGTTCTGGATCCTCGTTTTCTTCATCAATTTCCTTTGACAAAAGGTATGAGAAAGCGTCATTAACTTCATCCATTTTATTTCGATCCCAGATCTTTCCATTATGGATATAGTTGATAGAAATCTCATGATTTCCTTCAGGCTCATGATGCTCATCATTGTCATTAGACTCATGATTCGTTTCTTCCAAAATGCTTTCTGCTATTTTGGGAATATCATGCTTTTCAACTTCCTTTCGTTTTCTAGGATTTTTATCCCTAGCACCAACTGGTCTACCACGTTTCAAGCGTGTTTTAGACTCACGTGTATCATCTGCTCTTCCACTTTCTTGTGGTATTTCAATTCGAGCAGGAACATTTGCAGCTGGTATATATGATTTAGTTACCGTTTTGGTATCTGCAAAAGCATCGGGAAGTTGATTTGCTATACTTTGCAAATGCACAATTCGTCGAACTTCTATTTCTGACTGTTTTGTAGGAGGATCAAGGTGTAACAGGGATGGTACACACCATTTAATTTCTTTTCCTACTTGCTTATTTTCTCCCCCTAGAACCGGGAATACTTTCTCATCAAAGTGACAATCGGCAAATCGTGCCGTAAAGACATCACCAGTCTGCGGTTCTAGGTATCTTATAATTGATGGAGAGTCACAGCCAATATATATTCCCAACCTTCTTTGTGGTCCCATCTTTGTACGTTGTGGTGGTGCTATAGGCACATACACTGCACAACCAAAAATTCTTAGATGGGATATATTTGGTTCACGACCAAATACTAGTTGTAATGGGGAATATTTATGATATGCACTTGGTCTTATCCGAATGAGTGCTTCTGCATGCAAAATGGCATGTCCCCATACAGAGGTTGGAAGTTTTGATCTCATGATCAATGGTCTTGCAATCAATTGCAGACGTTTAATTAATGATTCCGCCAAGCCATTTTGTGTATGAACATGAGCTACAGGATGTTCAACTTCAATTCCCGTTACCATACAATAATCATTGAATGCTTGGGATGTGAATTCACCAGCGTTGTCTAGTCTAACTCATTTAATAGGGTAATCAGAAAACTGAGCCCTCAGTTTGATTATTTGAGTTAGAAATCTCGCAAATGCCATATTTCGAGATGATAATAGACAAACATGTGACCATCTGCTGGATGCGTCAATTAATACCATGAAATAGTGGAATGGTCCACAAATATCTCCTTGAATTCGTTCAAGGAATTTTGGTGATTCTTTATCAATTTTAGTTGGCGATGGCCTTATGATCAGTTTTCCAAGAGAACATGCGGCACATGTCTTTTTATTCCCATGATATATCTCCTGGATTTTCAATGGGTGTCCATGTGAGCTCTCTATGATTTTTCGCATCATTGAGGTGCCTGGATGACCGAGGCGATCATGCCATAATGTGAAATCTTCTGGATTTCTTTTAATCACTAGATGCGATTCGATTGCACTTATATGAGTATAATGCAATCCTGAAGGAAGTTTTGGAAATTTTTCCAATATAAGCCTTTTTCCTGATTTATCAGAAGTTATGTACATATACTTCTTTTCATTCTCAGTTGCAGACTGAGTATCATATCCTTGAAGGTATATGTCTTTGAAACTCAACAAATTCCTTTTAGAGTTTGGAGAATACAAGGCATTTTTTATGGAAAACTTGGTTCCATTAGGCAACATAAAGTTGGCCATACCAGTTCCTTCAATCACGTCTACAGGACCTGATATTGTATTGACAATAACGTTTGTCGGTTTTAAGTTAGAGAAATATCTTTTGTCCTTCAGAATAGTGTGTGTTGTTCCACTATCTGGTATACAAATTTCTTGAGCCATTTCCTTGGAGATTGTTTCATCCATTTCTGTGATTAAGATAAACATAAAGAAAGTAAATTTTATAAAAGGAAAACACACAATAATTATACATTAAATTGTTGTTAAAACAACATTATTTTTCAAAATAATAAAAGCATAATATTATACATATATGGCATAACTAGAGACTATTTCAGCAGTCTCAATACAAGCTCTTTAGTTAACCGCATGAGCGGTCTCATTAATCTTTTCCGCTATTAGGAGTGCCACAAATAAATCCGAAAATTCGGTATACCCGTATGACATATACAGTTTTTGCTGGGTAATGTGGTTTTCATACAACGTGGTATACGTTTTCTCAAGCATCTGAGAATCAGTGATAATATCACCATAATATTTCAGTTTAACCACAATTTCCATCATAGCGGAATTATAATTCATCACTTTATCAAAGTCTTTGAACTTTAGACTTTGCCATTCATCCCGAACAAGTGGGAGATTTATTGCCTTTCGATTATCAAATCGAGCTTTTAGGGATTCCCAGATCTCTTTGGGATCTTTTATGTGTGCATAATCACATATGATACTTTCATCAAGGTGTCTTAAAATAAAGATCACCGATTTTTCCCTTTCTTGAACCGTCGAAGTATTATTCTCTTTTATGGTATTTATTAAGCCAAGAGATTGTAAATGTAGTTCGACGTTGGCAATCCAAAATATATAATTGGCCAAAGTGATGTCTAGAGCTGGAAACATAAGCTTCTGAATGCTTGCCATTAGATATCTAAAATAAAATCACAAAGAACTTTATTAGAAATTTAATTTATTTCATTTTAGAGCATGGGATGTGCTTATATAAGCAATGCGATTACAAGAAATACAATTACATAAAAAAGTAAAATAATAACCATCAAAATTTCTTCGGGAGAAAATTCTCCAAAGAGTAAACCGTAAATTGCAACAATTATAAAGCCTATTACAAAAACTAAAAACGGATGAGTCATTTTCCAAAATGAAAACTTAAACAAATTTCTTAGAAAAATATATGAGGAGAGATATGATTTTTGAGTGAATGAATGAGTGAAAATGAGTGTATTTATAGATTGAAAATTACTGTTCATAGCCGTTTGAAAAGTGATAAATTTTTGAAATTTTTTCTTCATGACCGTTGGTGAAAAAAAATTAAACAAAAATTAATCTGAAAAATTAGAGATCAATCAGATAAAAATTATCGATTCAGATAAAAATATTTATACTGGTAAATAAACCTTTTTGTATAATAATCATAATATAAACAAATAATTCACGGTGATATTATGGTCACGGAGTCATCCACATAGGAACAGTAAATAAATATGTGGCGGCTCAGCCGACCGGTATCAGAAATAAATATTTAAAGCAGCGCATAAAATTAAGGCGGCTCAGCCGACCGGTAGCAGAAATAAATATTTAAAGCAGTGCATAGAATTAAGGCGGCTCAGCCGACCGGTAGCAGAAATAAATATTTAAAGCAGTGAATAAAATTTCAGGTGGCTCAGCCAACCATTAACAGAAAATAATTAATTATGGTGCATGAAGTAATATATATATACATATATAGTTTATTTTATTTATTTATATAATTTTCTTTTCTCTTTTTCTCTTTTCTTTTTTTTTCTTTTTCTCATTCTCATATTTTTTTTCTTTTAACGAGGCGACATACCGCCCGGTATAATACCGTATTTTTTTTTCAGCGATCATAGAGTGATCGTGCTGATAACGTGTTATAAATAATTACTTTATTCTATGGTGAATATAAATAATAAATAAGAGAGAAATTTTATACCCGCAGAAGGATCGGGATACTGAAAATAAAGATAAGAGAGAAGGAGAGAGATTTCTTATTGCTTCTTATTATTGAAGTATGAATTGTGATTTACAACGAACGAATTCGTTCGTTTATATAGGCAGGAAAAAGTAAGTTACTATGCATGCATAGTGACGGTGGGCTCCACACAAATTATATTTTACTCTTAATCTTTTGCACGCGTAGCGTCTATTGTTGACGCTGTATTTTTCTGACTTTTGTAACAGACTTGACTATATTTGTGTGTTTCAAAATATTGATAAATTAAAATGAAATTAAAATATGCAACTTTGCATACATATTTCAAGTATGGCATACATATATGTGTTATTTTATGATGATAAAGATGAATTTAGTTAATACAACATCTAATTATAGTGATGGAAGTCAAACCGTTATAAGAGTTACTAGTAAGGTGTATTTAAGTTCGGATTTTCTAATACAAGTGACAATCTCCTATATATATTATTGAGTATGAGAGTTCGACTCCACTTTTCTGTAAAAATTGAAAAAATTTATGTGGACCAACTGATAAAAAGAATATAAAGTATATCTAATTTACGCGGTAAACTAATATCGTTAAAAGAAAAAATAAACAGAATGCGTCTTGCCATAATTTCAAATCTTCCATAACTTTTGTACATTACTTTCCATTTTTGTGTTTCCTTTTCATACTTAAGAATAAACTTTTATTACTTTAGTTTAGTTTTGATTAAAAATGAGACCATAAAATTATTATAAACATTCACATTTGGAAAAGGGAATAAAAATAGGGGTATGATTCAGAAAGAAGTAAAAGTATGAGGAGCAAATCGGAGAATAAAAAGCCCTGTACTCTTTTAACATGGGCCGTCAAATTCGAACTCGAAACTCTCGTTCGGATTTTTGTAATCATCCATAAAAGATCCAATCAAAATTCATTCATCCATCATCGTTTGTTACACATCATCTTCTTCCTCTCGCTCCCCTCTGATAGCGAAACCCTAAAATACTCTCAGCTGCTACTTTCCGAAACCAAATTCCGACGAATTAACTTTTTTTTTTTTTTTTTGGATAAAATCATCGGAGTCTCTTCTCTGGTTCGGCTGTGATGGGTGCGAGCCGGAAATTACAAGGCGAGATAGATCGGGTGCTGAAGAAGGTTCAAGAAGGTGTTGATGTTTTCGACAGCATCTGGAACAAGGTAACGTTTCCTCTCTGTCCACAATTTTGTATATATTATTCCAATGATTGATTGTTTTTTTTCTCTCTTTCTCAATTGTTCATCGTTGTTATCGAGAATGCATGAAGATCTATAGGAAAATAATCACTGTGTGTAGTTTTGGATTGCGATTGTTGGTTCATGCATTGGCTCTTAATCGATGATACTTAGATTGTGCCTGATGGGATTGGAAATGTCTGTGATAATTGTTTGATTTGCTAATTTTTTTTTGTTATTTATAACTTTTTGTTTGTTTTGTTTTGTGAGGTAATTTTCCAGTGGAACTCAATATCGAGCTCCGTTTGTTTTTTATGCAGTGGAATGTGAGCAGAATGTTTGTTTTCGAAGCAGAAAAGTTTTTTACTGGACAGAGGAACAACTCGGTTTCGGACTTTTTTGGTGTTTCAGGTATATGATACAGACAATGTTAACCAAAAGGAAAAGTTTGAGGCGGACTTCAAGAAGGAAATCAAGAAGCTGCAGCGGTATAGAGACCAGATCAAGACTTGGATTCAGTCCAGTGAGATCAAAGATAAGAAAGTCAGTGGTCTTCTTCATCTTCAATGCCTTTTTTCCTTTTTAATTGACTAATGAGGCGACTTGGCTCCCTTGCATTCTCTTAAATCTACGGCTGTGTTTAGTTATCTCTCCTGTCTAAAGTTCATGGTGATGATTCATATTATAACTAAAGCTTTCCTAACATCTTAAAGAAAAAGTCTGATATTTTATTCATTTGAGTAAGGTGCTTTCACCGGTGGTTTTGTCTGTCATACTTTTGGCTACCCTCTAGGCTCTAGCTAGTTTAATTTTGGTTCATATAAGCTGAAAGGAGTAGCTTCATCTCTAGTTTTACTTTTACATTCCTTAAATATTGTTCGAAGGAATCTTAATACCCATTTGTTTTTAGACTGAACTGATCAGATTGTCTGTCGTTTGACTTAGGTCAGTGCATCATATGAGCAATCCCTGGTTGACGCTCGGAAGCTTATTGAGAAAGAGATGGAGAGGTTTAAGATCTGTGAGAAAGAGACCAAGACAAAAGCTTTTTCCAAGGAAGGACTGGGTCAGCAACCTAAAACTGTAAGAATTTCTCTACTTTTCTGGTTTACCCCAAATAATAATGTGAAATTGAAGTGTTTTCCTACAATTTTTTCTTCTTAAGTTTCTAACATATCATTGAGTTTCTATTAAAACATTTCTGGTTTTGTGAAATCTGTTGGATATTCCTAGGTGGTTATATATATTAGCGAAAACTCTTTTCGGTATTCAGGCTACTGAGTTTGTCAGCTTCATGTTTTATAGGACCCAAAAGAGAAAGCAAAGTCAGAGACAAGGGATTGGTTAAACAATGTGGTGAGTTGTTTTGGCGTATTCGTGCCTAATTATTGATTCTTGACCCCTTCCTTTAACAGAAACGTCAAAGAAGACTAATGTTAATGGTGTTTTTGTATTATGGTTTATGTGCGAGGGAAACTAGGTAATCCGGTCCTTATGGATCATCTTCTGTCGGTGCTATAGCTGATTCGTTTCTTATTTTCTTGCTTTTGATAGGTGAGTGAACTGGAGTCACAGATTGATAGCTTTGAAGCTGAATTGGAAGGACTGTCTGTCAAAAAAGAAACAGTTTGATTTGAATGGTTTCAGCTGGAATTGAGAAGAACATAGAAGCTTAAAGACTGCAACAACCTTTTTATGATAATCACACAGGAAATGAAAAGCCTTTGATTTCCTTTGTTAGATTGAGAGATTCGTCTAAAATTGAATTATATTAGTTGAACCAAAAGAGACAATCTTGTGCAAACATGTGTAACACCATTAATTTGCGTAGTTATGAATGATCTCATATAAATACAGATAAATTTACTAACTTCATGGAACATATTGAAATTCTTGAGAGAAGGACGTAAAGCTCCGTGCTTTTAATCAAATTCGGACATCAACAAAGCAAGAACATACCCATAAATGTGTAAGCATTCTCTTGCTTCTGAGAAGCAACGTAGCAAATCGGAGAGAAACCGGAAAGTGAGGAACGAACGGCCGTCCAACGACGAGAGTTTGGGATTGTCTACCGCCTTTTTTCAAACCGGGTCGGGTAACCTGGTTTTATCCGATTAGGGGCAAGAGGACCCCATCTGTATCCTCAAAGAGTGACAATGTCATGTTTCGTCCCTGAGATTTTAGTAGGCGCTTAATTTCACCCATTATAGTTTTCCTTGGACCACTTAACCAAACATTGCAATTTTGTTTTGTTTTGTCTAGGCCTGGGCATTCGGATTTCGGATCGGATTCGGTTCGGATTTATTCGGATTCGGATAATTCGGATAGGAGACCAGAGACACACCCACAATAAGACCATTTTATTTCATCACAACAGAAGAATGAACAAAAAATCTGTTAACTATATTTTTGTGTATTAAAATGCTGATAAATTCATATGAAATTAAAATATGCTTTGTATACATTTGTAATGTATGACATACATATATGTTTTATATCCCTTATATCTAACTGTGGTGGTAGGAGTCATACCGTTAGATATATTTAAGTTTGGAATTTCTAACGCAAATGACGATGCCAACTTATACAAATCATTGGGTACAAGAATTCGACTTTACTTTTATGCAAATTGAAAAACAACTTTGTGGACTCATCGATAAATAATAATTTAAAGTATATTTAATTTGCGCGAAAAAAATTTACCAATTAAAATCAGTTCAAAAAAAAAAAACAGAATGCGTCTGACGCCATAAATTCAAATCTTCCATAATTGTTGTACATTACTTTCCATTTTTGTGTTTTCTTTTCATACTTAAAATATATATTTTTAGTACTTTATTTTAGTTTTGATCAAAAATGAGACCATAAAATTATTATATAAAGATTCACATGTGGAAAACAGAATAAAAATAGGGGTATGATTCAGAAAGTAGTAAAAGTATGAGGAGCAAATCGGAGAATAAAAAGCCTTGTACTCTTTTAACATGGGCCGTCAATATCGAACTCGAAACTCTCGTTCTGATTTTTGTAATCATCCATAAAAGATCCAATCAAAATTCATTCATCCATCATCGTTAGTTACACATCATCTTCTTCCTCTCGCTCCCCTCTGATAGCGAAACCCTAAATACTATCAGCTGCTACTTTCCGAAACCAAATTCCGACGAATTAACTTTTTTTTTTTTTGGATAAAATCATCGGAGTCTCTTCTCTGGTTCGGCTGTGATGGGTGCGAGCCGGAAATTACAAGGCGAGATAGATCGGGTGCTGAAGAAGGTTCAAGAAGGTGTTGATGTTTTCGACAGCATCTGGAACAAGGTAACGTTTCCTCTTTATCCACAATTTCGTATTCCAGTGATTGATTGTTTTGTCTTTCTTTCTCAATTGTTCATCGTTGATATCGAGAATGCATGAAGATCTATAGGAAAATAATCACTGTGTGTAGTTTTGGATTGCGATTGTTGGTTCATGCATTGGCTCTTAATCGATGATACTTAGATTGTGCCTGATGGGATTGGAAATGTCTGTGATAATTGTTTGATTTGCTAATTTTTTTTTTGTTATGTATAACTTTTTGTTTGTTTTGTTTTGTGAGGTAATTTTCCAGTGGAACTCAATATCGAGCTCCGTTTGTTTTTTATGCAGTGGAATGTGAGCAGAATGTTTGTTTTCGAAGCAGAAAAGTTTTTTACTGGACAGAGGAACAACTCGGTTTCGGACTTTTTTGGTGTTTCAGGTATATGATACAGACAATGTTAATCAAAAGGAAAAGTTTGAGGCGGACTTGAAGAAGGAAATCAAGAAGCTGCAGCGGTATAGAGACCAGATCAAGACATGGATTCAGTCTAGTGAGATCAAAGATAAGAAAGTCAGTGGTCTTCATCTTCAACGCCTTTTTTTTTTGTGTAATTGACTAATGATGCGACTTGGCTCCCTAGCATTCTCTTAAATTGCACCTGCAAATCATAATCTATGGCTGTGTTTAGTTATCTCTCCTTTCCAAAGTTCATGTTGATGATTTCAATATCTCCTGATTTGGTTTCAATAAGCTGAGAGGAGTAGCTTCATCTCTAATATCACTTTTATATTCCTTCCATGTTGTTCTGTTTCGAAGGGGTCTTAATACCCATTTGTTTTTTGACTGAACTGATCAGATTGTCTGTCAATTGACTTAGGTCAGTGCATCATATGAGCAATCCCTGGTTGACGCTCGGAAGCTTATTGAGAAAGAGATGGAGAGGTTTAAGATCTGTGAAAAAGAAACCAAGACAAAAGCCTTCTCCAAGGAAGGACTGGGTCAGCAACCTAAAACTGTAAGAATTTCTCTACTTTTCTGTTGAATTATTTATTTTTTCCCCAAATAGTAATGTGAACTTGAAGTGTTTTTCTACAATTTTTCCTTCTAAGTTTCTAACACATCATTGAGTTTCTATTGAAACATTTCTGGTTTTGTGAAATCTGTTGGATAATCCTAGGTGGTTATATATATTAGCGAAAACTCTTTTCGGTATTCAGGCTACTAATTTTGTCAGCTTCATGTTTTATAGGACCCAAAAGAGAAAGCAAAGTCAGAGACAAGGGATTGGTTGAACAATGTGGTGAGTTGTTTTTGCGTATGCGTGCCTAATTATTGATTCTTGACCCCTTCCCTTAACAGAAACGTCAAAGATGACTAATGTTAGTGGTGTTTTTGAAATATAGTTGATGTGCAAGGGAAACTAGGTAATTTGGTCCTTATGGATCATCTTCTGTCAGTTCTGTAGCTGATTCATTACTTATTTTTCTTGCTTTTGATAGGTGAGTGAACTGGAGTCGCAGATTGATAGCTTTGAAGCCGAGTTGGAAGGATTGTCTGTCAAAAAAGGAAAGACAAGACCGCCCAGATTGGTAAGATATGAAAAATATGCATTGGTATGCAAATGCTGTAATTTCTTCTCTCGTGGGGAGTCATGTCATTTGGCTTGTTTTCCCCTTTCAGACTCATCTTGAGACATCTATTACAAGGCACAAGGATCACATAATAAAGTTGGAACTGATCTTGAGGCTTCTGGACAATGATGAATTAAGTCCAGAACAAGTAAATGACGTCAAAGATTTTCTGGACGATTATGTTGAACGAAATCAGGTGTGTTTTATCTAGATCCTGGAATATTTTGCTTATATGTGCTATACTTTCCAACATTAAAGTACGCTGATATTATCCTGGACTGTGTTTAACTTTTCTCTATGCAGGATGATTTTGACGAATTCAGTGATGTCGATGAGCTCTATAGCACGTTGCCACTAGATGAGGTGGAGGGTCTTGAAGATCTAGTTACTGCTGGCCCCCTTGTCAAGGTGACTTTTTGTTGCAATATCTCTATTTGCATAATTTCCCCTCTCTGTGGAAGTGCTGTATCTATCCGGTGAAAAGAGTGCAGGAATTCAGGAATCGATTTGCAGTTCATGAGATTTTCACTGTAGTTACCAGTCATTAGCTTTAGATTAAGAAATAACATGACTTACATTTGTCAGGGTACTCCTTTGAGCATGAAGAGTTCTTTGGCAGCGTCAGCATCTCAAGTTCGGGTAAGTATTCCTATATCTCTTTGCTTGAAGAATTTTTGTTTATGTTTCTTTATTTTTGCGTTGTTTCAGAGCATAAGTTTGCCAACTCATCATCAGAGTACTTCTCAAGAGAAAACAGAGGATACATCTTTACCGGATAGCAGTGCTGAGATGGTTCCAAAAACCCCTCCCCCAAAGAATGGCGCAGGCCTTCACTCAGCACCATCAACACCTGCCGGGGGACGTCCAAGTTTGAATGTGCCTGCCAGTAATGTTTCAAATGCATCAGTTGCCTTATCAACTTCTATTCCTACTCAAACTTCCATAGAAAGCATGGGGAGTTTGTCTCCCGTGGCTGCCAAGGAAGAAGACGCAACAACCTTGCCTTCTCGTAAACCACCCTCATCTGTTGCTGATACTCCATTGAGGGGCATTGGTAGAGTTGGTATCCCCAGCCAGCCCCAACCAAGCCAGCCTCCGTCTCCAATTCCAGCTAACGGATCTCGCATTAGTGCAACTTCAGCAGCTGAAGTTGCAAAGAGAAATATAATGGGAGTTGAGAGCAATGTCCAACCTCTAACTTCTCCACTGAGCAAAATGGTATTGCCACCAACTGCGAAGGGTAATGATGGAACTGCCTCTGATAGTAACCCTGGTGATGTTGCGGCTAGTATTGGTAGAGCTTTTTCACCATCTATTGTATCTGGTTCGCAGTGGAGGCCTGGTAGTCCCTTTCAGAGTCAGAATGAAACGGTGCGTGTTTTGAATTCGATTATATTTTAAGGATCCCTGGCTATACATCCCATGGGCTTGGTTAAGGTTTTTTGTCCTGTGGTTTGGTTTTCTCTACTGTCTTCTTTTTCTCTATTAAATACGTACATGTTTTGGCTTTCAGGTTCGTGGGAGAACTGAAATAGCACCAGATCAAAGAGAGAAATTTTTACAGAGGTTGCAGCAAGTACAGCAAGGGCATGGTAACCTCTTAGGCATGCCTTCTCTATCTGGAGGAAACGAGAAGCAGTTTTCTTCACAACAGCAAAATCCTCTTTTACAGCAGGTAGCATGTTTTATGAAATAATCACATGCGTAATAGTAGTCAAAACATTCCATCATAACAAGAGACTATCTTTTCTAATCTGTTTCTCAGAGCTCTGCCATCTCTCCTCATGGAAGCTTGGGAATCGGAGTTCAGGCACCAGGTTTTAATGTCATGAGTTCTGCCTCCTTACAGCAGCAGTCAAATGCCATGAGTCAACAATTGGGTCAGCAGCCTTCTGTTGCAGGTACAATCACTGTTTAGGTTATCTCTGTGGTTAATGATATGATTGTTAATGGACACTATTTCTGGGTTTAGCAACTAGCATCTATGGCCAAATGTAATCTAAGATTTATCTAATTTGATTAAAGCTTAACTTTGTTAAGGAGTTCTGCATCTTGGCAGTTACTTAAATACTAGAGTTGTTGGAGCCTCAGTTTTAGGATTCGAGTTTTGAAAGTACAGATGAAAAATCCTAGCAAAATAAGGGACCTGTTCTTGATGTTTGTGCAGATGTAGACCATGTCAGAAATGATGATCAACCGCAGCAAAACTTACCTGATGATTCAGCTTCCATAACAGCTTCAAAAACTATTCATAATGAGGATGATTCTAAAGTTCTATTTGACACTCCGGTAAGCAGGAATAGTTCTCTGCTCACATTTATTAGACTCGTGAGTAACTTTTTGATATATGCTTTCCATCAGATTGATTCTTAATGAAAATTTTTAAGTGAACAAAATTATTCTGTCTTTGTTGGTGTTGGTGAGTGTTTTGATTTGTCATTTCTTCACTTAAAGTTCACATATGCAATTCAATAGTGAATGTGGTTTGTGGATACACATAATAATAGCTGTATTCTATTAAACCAAGCAACTAACTAAGGGTGGCCTCTGATCCTTCATATGTGTTTTCTGTTTTATCTTCAGTCGGGAATGCCCAGCTACATGTTGGATCCAGTACAAGTATCTAGCGGTCCTGATTTCTCTCCTGGACAACCCATACAACCAGGTCAATCTTCAAGTAGCCTCGGGGTCATTGGAAGGAGAAGTAACTCTGAATTAGGAGCCATAGGTGACCCTTCAGCTGTAGGGCCAATGCATGATCAAATGCACAATCTCCAGATGCTTGAAGCTGCTTTCTATAAACGTCCTCAACCCTCAGATTCAGAACGTCCTAGACCCTATTCTCCGGTACACCATTCTTCTGAATTCTACTTTAAATAATATCCGCTTAAATTTCATATTCCCTATGATTCTGAACAGAGGAACCCAGCAATCACACCTCAAACATTTCCCCAAACACAAGCACCAATCATAAACAATCCTTTGCTCTGGGAACGTTTAGGCAGCGACGCTTATGGGACGGATACTTTGTTCTTTGCGTTCTATTATCAGCAGGTACCAAAATCTCAATGCTCTGTTCCATCTTTTATTTATCTCTTTTTCCCGGTTCCCGTCAACCTTACCGGCTTTTTTGCCGTGTGTTTGTGTAGAACTCATACCAGCAATATCTAGCTGCAAAAGAGCTGAAGAAACAGTCATGGAGATACCACAGAAAGTTCAACACTTGGTTTCAGAGACATAAAGAGCCAAAGATTGCTACTGATGAGTATGAACAAGGAGCCTATGTTTACTTTGATTTCCAAACCCCTAAAGACGAGAATCAAGAAGGAGGATGGTATGATTTGATTCATGTTTTTGGATTATAGATTTCTTGTTCTTGTTTGGAGATGGTAATCGTAATGCTTTTTCTTTAATGTCTGTGTAGGTGTCAGAGGATCAAAAACGAGTTCACATTTGAATACAGTTATCTTGAAGATGAACTCGTCGTATAGAATAGAGAGAGATATACATGTTTGTATATACTCTTGAGCAAGTGTTATTTCCTGCGTCTATTTGTACTCATCTTTTCAATAAACTAATTACTTTTAGTTTCAAAGTTGGCATTTTCCGATGATGACTCTTAAAAGACAATAAAAACCAGAGTATCATCATGAAATCTTTAATGCTTAAATTGTTCCAAAAGGCGATTATTTCAACAAAAGGAAAAGAAAAGAAAAAAAATAATCGGGGTTATGCATTAGTGATTTTAACATTTTTCAAGTTTGTATACAGTAAAACATATGTGGAGCCATAATATTTTATAAATTTATAGTAATAATAACTTATTAATTTATATTTTACATTAATAAATATTAATTTATAGAGATATTTGCTTTAATTGTTTTAGTTTTAAGAATATGAGTTTTCGTATACATAAAACTAATGATTTGGATGTCTTACAATTTTTCTAGTATTGCAAAAAAAAATTGACAATGAATCACAAACACTATAATTGAATTCACTTATACAAACTATATACATAAATTGAAATGTATCAACTATCGTATTTTAAAGCCTATAAAACTATTGAAATGAAAATGATGCATATTAAGAAGTTATAAACTTATAAAACATTATGACCATTTTTTACTACCAAGTTTAGAAACATAACGTAACAATTGTTTGATATAATAAATGTTAGAGTCAAATTAATTGTTTGATATAATGAAAGTTCGAGACAAACTCTAACAAAAATTCAATGTTTAACATACCCTAAACCATATGTTATATATTATCTTATATACATATATATGTACATGTTCTCGTCCTCCCTAGGTTTGATGAGATCCCCTGATGAGATCATAAGTCATTTCTTCAAATTTATGAATATAGTTTTTACGAGGTTTGATGTGCATTTTGTTTAAGTTGAAGTGTTCAATTATTTTCTTAAATGTCTAGCACAGAAATGTGCATGTACCGAAGATTATGCAGCGTCGGTTTAATAAAATTGGGAAAAAAATGTAAAAAAGAATAAGTTATGACTCGTGTGTGTGCGCTATTATGGGGCTTGTCTAGCGGATCGGTGAAATTTGGTTATTACAAGCATGTGGAGATTGTCGTTTTCGGGATTTCACCTGAAGAACGGCGTCGTTTTCGGTGCCAATCAGGCAATCCCTTAGACCCCAAGCAATTCTCTTTGCGTTTTGCTTAATGTAATAAAGACCAACCAAAGAAAAATATATACATAAACTAAGAACCTCTTATCATATGTATATGACCTCCATAGATGATAGATCCATATTTATTACAATCATAATGATACATTATACATACATTTCTTCGCTGTTTCTTACTAGTTATTTCAGAAACAAGAATCTTTTTTACTTGCATTAGTTCTTTCTCCATTTTCTTTGCAATACTTCCTCTTCGATTCTTCATAGCTTAAACCAAAAATAAAACAACCAGTTTTTTCTTGCGCAAAGCAACATTAAAACATCATTAGCGGTAAATCATCAAAATCCCAAAACTTCATCATTTTTTTCTACAGGCGGCCAAAAACAGAGTACATCCAATATGAGTAACCGACGGAAACAGAGCACCACTGCCGGCATCTTCCTCTGCATCACCATCTCCACCTTATCTTTATTATCCGGCGATGTCTCCGCCTTGGGAGTAAACTGGGGTACAATGGCAACTCATCAGCTCCCTCCAAAGACGGTGGTTCAGATGTTAAAAGACAACAACGTTAAAAAAGTGAAGCTTTTCGATGCCGACACAAACACCATGGTAGCTCTTGCCGGATCCGGTATTGAAGTTATGGTTGCAATCCCTAACGATCAGCTCAAAGCCATGGGAAGTTATAACAGAGCTAAAGATTGGGTCAGAAGAAACATCACTCGTTTCAACGACGACGTTAAAATCAAGTAAACAAGTTTTGATCTTTCACCACAAATCGAAGATTCTTCAATGTTGGAACTAAATTTAGTTTCTTTGCAGATATGTCGCCGTTGGGAATGAGCCGTTTTTGACAGCTTACAATGGATCATTCATTAACCTAACTTATCCAGCACTCTTCAACATCCAAAAAGCATTAAACGAAGCCGGAGTTGGAGATTTCATCAAAGCCACCGTACCTTTGAACGCTGACGTCTATAATTCTCCGCTGGAAAATCCAGTTCCTTCAGCCGGAAGTTTCCGTCAAGACATCTTTGAAGAGATGAAACTAATAGTCAACTTCTTGGCTCATAACAAAGCTCCCTTCACCGTCAACATTTATCCTTTCCTAAGTCTTTACCTCAGCAGCGACTTCCCTTTTGACTACGCCTTCTTCAATGGCCAAAACACTGTCAGCGATAACGGCGTTATCTATACAAATGTTTTCGACGCCAATTTCGATACCCTCTTGGCTTCACTCAGAGCATTGGGTCATGGAGATATGATGGTTATAGTTGGAGAAGTTGGTTGGCCAACAGATGGTGACAAGAACGCTAATATCCCAAACGCAGAACGCTTCTACACAGGTCTGCTTCCGAAGCTAGCAGCCAACAGAGGAACACCTATGCGTCCGGGTTACATTGAAGTTTATCTCTTCGGATTCATTGATGAAGATGCAAAGAGTATAGCTCCTGGTAACTTTGAACGTCACTGGGGGATATTCAAATACGATGGCCAGCCGAAATTTCCAGCGGATTTGTCAGGGGCAGGTCAGAAGAAGATCTTAACCGGAGCTCAAAATGTTCAGTACTTGCAAAACCAGTGGTGTATGTTAAACCCTGATGGCCTCACTTTCAGTAACAACACTAACCAGCTCGGGGATAACGTAAACTACGCGTGTACCTTCTCTGACTGCACAGCTTTGGGGTATGGTTCCTCTTGTGGTAATCTCGATGAGGTCGGGAATGCGTCGTATGCATTCAACATGTATTTTCAGGTGCAGAATCAGAAGGCAGAGGCTTGTGACTTTGAGGGCCTTGCAATTATCACTACCCAGAATATTTCTAGAGAACAGTGTAATTTTCCTATTCAAATCGGAGATCCAACATCGGGACATAGTGATCATAACCATAGGTTCATCGGCTTGGCTCTGGTGAGTATGTTGCTACTCTTTATGGCACTATGAGCTTTTCCAGTTTTGCTTCTTGTTTGGTTTTATGCATTGTAGTATATTGCTAATTCTTGAGTCACCACCAAATTACAAGAGACTGAATTCGATCTAGCAATTTGAATCCTGCAGTTTCAAACTTCTTTATGGATGATTAGAACACAACTTCAATACTTTAAATTTTCAGGTAAAGAAACATATTTTCTCTCTGATAAACTAATCCAATAACAGAACAAACCATATTCATTTGAGGAATGCACCATTAGCAACAATAACTTGTCCATTGATCCACTCACCACCATCACTAGCTAAGAAACCAACAACAGAAGCAATATCTTTAGTCTCACCAAGCCTACCAAAAGGACTCCTCTCAATGATATTCCTCACCGTCTCCTCGCTCTTCCCGTCAAAAAACATCTCAGTCGCAACAGGCCCTGGAGAAACACAGTTTGCAGTGATTCCTGAACCTTTAAGTTCCTTAGCAAGAATCTTCACCATTGCTTCAACAGCAGCCTTTGATGCTGTGTAAGCTCCTTGCCCCGGGATTAACGCCTCGGTTAATGAAGACGTTAGCATTATAATCCGACCACCGCCTCCACGTTTTAGCCTTTTCGCAGCTTCTTTACAACACAAGAATGATCCTCTTGTATTCACCCTAAACAACAACAAACAACACTTCAAGAATCACTCAATTAGTTGTGATCACTTAATAAAATATCATTCCAACGAAATGTAGCAATTGCACAAGTGATTCACAGGAATCAGTGTAAGTAATGCGATCTTAAGCAAGATTATTGATAATCATAATCTTAATTCTTAATTAACTCTATAAGTTTCTTAATTACTTGAAGATGCTTTCGAAATCTTCAATGGGAGTGTTGGCGATGGTAGGGTAATTGGGATTGAGGATTCCAGCTGAGTTTACCAGGATGTGAACAGGCGAGTTAAAGGCTTTCTCCGCCGCGTCGAAGAGAGACTCGACCTGGCTTGGCTCTGAGATATCGGCGCGGAATACGAAGGCTATCGGTTCCTGACCGGCGCCGGGGGATGAGTTGATTTCCGCGGCGACTTGATCGGCTTCAGTGGATCTGGTGGTGTAGTTGATGACTACCTTGGCACCGCGCTCGGCGAGGTGTATGGCTATGGCTCTGCCGATTCCGCGAGAAGAACCGGTGACTATCGCGACTCGGCCGGCGAGAGACGAAACTGACGAAGCTGCTGCAGACATGCGGAATCAAATTTGGTCAAACGAAAACTGACTCAGCATCTTCGTTGACTGTATGACTATACTCTGTTTTGACTGTGGAACTGAACACGACGCCGTTTGTGCTGCTAAACTCTAAATGACGCCGTTTTGGGTGCAAGATTTGGACATGTCAAAATTCTAGTTCTTTTACTTATGGGAAGGTTAAAATCTCTCCATCTTTCATTTAACTGTGTCTAAATCTTGTTCCCCACATAAGAAGTGTACTTTAAACTAGAATGAGAACTTAGAACTCTAACTAGTGCTTGCATTGTTTTGTCAGATGTTGATATTTTTTTTGTCTAAAACCCAACTAGAAACTTGTCACCACAACTATTCAATTTCAATGTTGCGAAAAAGCAATATCACAAGCAGAAGAAAAGAAAAGTCGGGTGTGTATGCTTTTACTAAACTTTTCTAAGAAAGATTCAAAAGAAACTAAAAAAGGTTATAGAAGAAGAGAGAGGGGTTTTGGTTAAGAGGTGTTTGTTATAACAGCTTAGTCTTCGTCCATGCCTGCACCAGCGGCTGCAGCTGCATCTCTCCTCGGCCCACCTGCTGGTTTAGCCATTATAATCTGCCATTTATAAGCACTATAGTTAGCCACACATTGCATATTTCATTGTAAGCATCGGGTCAATCTTTCTATATCTCGTTGACACCATCCAACTGGAAAATTTATTTACGGTGGAAAGAGTTTCATGCAGCCACAAAACTGTGAAGGGTTCTTAGCGTTACCATTGATAATTAGTTTGGTTTTGTGCACTAAAATGGAAGATTCTCAGTTCTTTTTTTTTTAATCTTAAATGCGTATAGAAGTGATGTATTTTACCTGGTCTACGCGTAGCACGGTGCATGCAGCATCTGCAGCATACTTAAGAGCGAATAACCTGCACATAGACTTGGCTTCTTAGTTAAAAGGAAATGTACTACAGCAGAGAGATTTGATGGCAGAGTGACAAAGGAACTTACTTGGTGGAATAAAGATCCCATACTTTTGTATCTGAGACGTCTTTACAAACACCTTCCTCTAAGTCGATGCCAAGTTTTGCGTTTCCAGATCCATGTCCAGTGTACAGAGAAGCTGTGATCTCCATTGCATTGAGGCCGGCATTATCTGCAAGGGTTTTAGGCACAAATTCAAAGCTCTCTGCGAATTTGGAGATGGCATATTTGTCCAACCTGAAAATCAAATAACAAGTTTGAAGTGAAAAGACAGTAAAGTATAAGCCAAATTTAGAACGTGAGTTATGAACCATATTTTTATCATTAGATTTTTCAAGCAAATGAAGTAAATAAGGCAGCATATACCCAGTTTCTGCATTGGCATATTCCTTCAATCTTTGAGCCAATTCTATTTCAGTAGCTGCAGCTCCAGGAACAATGCGGCTGTCCCTGCACATGGCCTGAGAAGATGAAGATGGTTAGTCATAATAAGAAATCAAAGATTAACCAAAGTGACAAAAAATAAAAGAATTTCCAGAATATAATACCTTGTACGTATTAACTCCGTCATCCACAGCTCTTTCGAGGTCGTCCAATATGCTATCTGTGCTTCCACGCAAAACTACTGTAGAAATGGAGTTACCGCCCTCCTCATTTCTTGCAATGGTGACCTAAGAAATCATAGTCACGGAAATAGTTGACAATGGTCAATAAAACCTACAATTAAACCAAAAGATATAAAAATTTGATTCGCAAGGGAGAACTTACTCTCACACCACCAATTTCTTCTACTGATATAGAATCAACATAGCCAAGGTCATCAGGGCTTGGTCGGCTTAGCTTCAACTGTTAGACAGGTAAAAAGTGATACAAACTATGAGACGAACACTCAAACTCAGAAACTTATTTAGCTTATAAGTGAAAAACACATACTTGAGCGACTGCCCCGGTTGTACGACAGAAACGCCGCAATTCAAACTTTGAGCTAATTTTTAAGACCATTAACCTGCCAATAAGATAATTTGGTATTGGAAGTGAGTATGAAACGTGTATATCATAGAACCTCTGATGGAATAAGGTTAAACTAAGAATTGGGATGGAGAATGTGAGAGATAGAACAGAAATTAGATTAGACTACAAAAAGAGGGTCTGCATACTTGTAGCGCTCACAAAAATGCAATGCCATTTCACCAACTGATCCTCCGCTAACAATTACTTTAGCTCCTGATTCAGCAACGGCTTTTATCAATTCCTCAACCTTAGCTTCTTCTGTTTTCGCATAGTTCTCCAGCTACAATACCAAACAAGAGAGATAAAGTTGACGTCCAGATGACAAGCTAATTTTTACACAGTTCTCTAGTTACAAGACTAAACAAGAGAGAGATTTAAAGACCAGAGACAAGCTAATATCATAGTAATGGTGATATTAAAAATGACTGAATTTCAAAATAAGAGATACAAGAAACCAAGATTAAACCTGTCTCAGATATACAATAGTCAAAACAACATCTATGATAAAATTAATCAACAAAGATACTAATTTTCAAAGAGGAGATTTAAAAGATCAAACACATCTCATACGCATCAAACACTTAATACCATCAGCCAGTTTGATCAATTTTTAAAGCATAGCGTAAGAAATAATAGAGATGCCCAAACATTCAGTAATCTAGCAAAGAAAACTAACCTGCTCAGCACTGTGAATCAGGACAGTTCCTTTAGTCTCAGTTGCTGTAGTATCAACACCATCAGCAAACACAGCAACCTGCACAACAAAATGTTACCATAAGATACTAACACCAGCAAAAAAACGTAGCCACAAATCTAATGGGGTGAAGGTCAAAAGGCTAATAATATCATGCACAGAAGAAAAGTAGTTCTCACCTTCGCCTTCTCCATTCGCTTAATGCTCCCAATGGCATCACTTTTCAAGACCATGCCACGGACTATACACGAGTTGTGCAAACCTCCTCCCAAAAGTTTCGAAATACGGACATTATCCAGATTAAAATTTGTTGGATTCTTGGGACAGACTTGAATGCACGCCTAAAAGTAAATAAACCCATCAACCAGAAACCAAATTTGCAAGAACTTAGATAAACTAACAATATGGACAATGAGGAAACCAAAACAAAGTTATAACAAAATATACTTACATCAGCGACTAAAGAACATATAATCTCCTCTTGACCAAATTGCTTGCTAGCAACAGCTGCTCTCATCCTAGACACAACTTCCTCTTTATTACGTACATCCATAGACTCAGAACCACTCTCAACAAGCTCCTCCAAATATTCAACAGCCTACACAATAACCAAATAGCATTAACTAAAAGCACACTAAAAGATTATTACAAGGTTCAACGATTCACCAACCTTAATGCTTGCTTTAGTATATCCACTAATGATCTCACTCGGATGCAATCCCATCCTAATAAGCTCCTCAGCGTTTTGAAGAAGCTCTCCAGCAAAAGAAATGGTCAAATTGGCTCCATCTCCAACCTCTTCTTGCTGAGCCTTAGCAGCTAACACCAGAATTTTGGCAGCTGGGTGCTGAATCTCAAGTTCATTCACAATAGTGGCAGCATCATTTGTGACAAATAGCTTATCCAAATGATTGATAACCATTTTATTCATTCCTAACCAAAAGGTTTGAGATTTTAGAGAATTAATCATAAACAGATTCTACCATTACAAAAACGATAGATTTTGAATCCGGCGAGGAGAGACAAACCATTGGGGCCAAGAGAAGTGCGGGTAATGGTGGAAAGCTCCTTGCAAGCTTCGATGTTTTTAATGACGGCCTCATCGAGACCGGAGAGATGTCTGTAACCTTCTTTAAGCATCGATTGGATTCCGTGAGACTGCGTCGAGATTCCCATTGTCTCCGACGGCGAAGATCTACGCTTTGATCTGAAACAAATAACGAAAACCCTAAGCTACAAGCAAGTGACGAAGCTCTGTGTTTTCTTTCACTCGTTGTTTTGAGTTTTGATAGCGAAGCTCTTAAATTTCCTTTTAAAACATTTTTCGCTTGTTCGGGGACTCTCTAAACGACGCCGTTTAGCCGTTCAAACATAGTTTGGTTTGGTTTGGTTCAATAGTGGTTTGTTCGGGTTAATTGGTTCGATGCTGAATTTTAAGCTGATTGATCAAAGAAAATGCCCTGATATAAGCTTGAAAGAAAGAACTCATCAAGAGTATATGATGTTTTGTTTTTACAAAGAGCTACATGCATTGTTTACATCAGTGTTATTTGAATCAAACTGAAGCATCTTCCTCTTCAACATAGGGGAAAAAAGACAATGAATAGTGTTTTCTAGAGGCCTGTAGATTAGGCCATTAACTCCACACTAATCACTTCCATCTGAACCTTAGGTTGACACTAAAAAACCGGGTTCAAGTAAGGCTAACTTCCCGCATAACCTTTGCCACATCCTCTGGGAAAACTGGATTTATGTAGCACCCTGTGCCAATCTCAAACCCACCTATCCCAGAAAGCTGAGGTACAATCTGTAAGAACCAATGCGTGTAAGGTAGTTGTGATTCTGTGACCTTGAGGGGAGAAGTGTGGATCATATAATTATACGGGGGATCGTTAAGTTGCTTGGCTATCTTTTGAAGCATGAGTTTCAGAAGTCCTCCAAGGTCCACAGCCTGTTAATCATTGAAATTAAGTGACTACTAAGGTGATGATAAATTGATAATACAGTAACTTGCATTGTATCTAACCATAAATGAAACTTAGTAGCAGTAAAAAAGGTTAACCTTGACGTCATCGAGATGATGGAAATGGGAAGAATGATCCTTTGGAATAATCCAAATCTCAAAGGGATACGTAGCAGCGAAAGGAGCAACCGAAACAAAATGGGACGACTCATCAATCACAAAATGTTTTGATTTAGCTTCACAAAGACAACATTTCCCAGTCTCCTCGAAATAATCCTTGGTACCATCAAGGCGTGAAGAAACTGTTGGAGGAACAACTGGTAGAGCCATTATCTGACTGTGGGAGTGACTCATTGATGCTCCAGCTGACGCACCTTGGTTCTTGAAAACCTTCAAAATACGTAAACAAACAACATACACAAAGAGAGCCGATTCAGATGAAGGTCCACTCATATGCAAGCAACCCAAATATCCACTCTCATAACACAAGCATTGATGGCTAAACAATGGATAGATTCACACTAATAGAGCTTCTCCATTGAGAAATCTTAACCACTGAGTCAAATTTTGCTTCTATTTGGTATAATTGAGTTACAATTTAGGATATATGGAGAACACTTACCTGAATGTAATTGATGGAATCATGTTGCGCAATCTGATCGGTCCTCTTCTTATACGCGATCAAGACATCGCCGATACCAACCGGATCGATATCGGAGAGCTGAATCGAATGAACAGGGGATTCGATCACCACGTCGTGGAATCCGAATCCGACTATAGTCCGACCCGTACCCGTCTCACCTTGCTTCGCTTCGGTCTCGAGATTCCTACTTAGAGCCGGGTAGAGATTCTCGATGACCCGGAGTTTCCAATTCGGGTCATGATCTGGCACACGAAATATCTCCGGAGCACACTCTTGCTCACGACCGATGCAAAAGGAGCACGAGGAAGGTTTAGGATTAGGGTTCTGGGGAGATTTGGATTTGAAATCAGTCGGTCTCTTGGCTCGGGCGGGAGAGAATATGACCCAGCGGTTAGTTACTGGATCCTTCCTGAGCTCAGGAGATTGATTCTCGACCGAGTCGCCGTCGCCGCGATCAGGGGCATGACTCGGTGACGTCATCTTTCTCTTCTTTTGTGATCTGTAGCTTCGACACTTGTGCAATTTCGTTACCGTTGGCGTTGGGCAGAAGATATTTAGGAATGGGCAATTCCGGTTTAATGTAACCGGAAAATGAATGGTTTTTAACTTAATGAATTCGAACCGATTGCTTTCGAGAAATTCTAATCGGATTTATCGGTGTAATCCAAACGGAACCGAGCCCATCCATATATTCGGTTTCTTTCCCAAATTGCCGATGAAATTTCTTAGGAGGTAATTTATTTGGCAGACAAAAATTATATTGCATATGTTATAAATAATTTCTCATAAGCTTCCATAATTATCATATTTTTAATTACTATTGAATAGGTCAAAACACAAAATAAAAAAAATCTGATATGTAACACAAAACGGTTAAAAAATAACGATAAAATATAGCAAAATAATTAGTAAAGATCAATTATATTAATAAATTTTAATTTTTACTATTTTAATACAGTTAATATTTGTATTTTTGTGATTAGTACCTATCAAAACTTATAGTTTTTATTGTTACAGACTTACAGTAAGACCGAGTATCCAACAACCCAAAAATAAATAGATTATGCCTAAATAATCAAATTACACTAACTGTTAATTTTAAATATATATTTGATTAACATGTCTTTGTCTTTCTAACGAAATTTCTAAGGGGTGTTCGGCAAAAAGAAAGATAGCATACCATATGAATGATTTCTCATAAGTTTCTAAAAAAATTAAAGGTGTTTAATTACTATCGCATTAGTCGAAAGTTGAAACAAAAGATCTGTTCCGTAACATAAACTAATTAAAAAAATATATAAGATGTATCAAAATAGTTAGTAACGATCAAATATATTAATAAACAATATTTTTTTGGTATTATTTTGAATACGATCAATATTTATGTTTTTATGATTGGTAACTATCAAAAGTTAGAATTTTTATTGTTGCTATAAAATCAATTATAGATCAAACTAAAAAAAAATGATACCTAAACAATAATATTTTACACTAATCCACAGTTTAATTAAATTTTATACAAACCAAAAATAAATAAATTATGCCTAGATAATCAAGATTTTATACTAATCGACAGTTTCAATAACTTTTGTACAAGATATTTAACAGAAGGAATAGGATCTATACTATTAAAAGGGAATCATTCTAACTAAACTAACCCTATAAAGTGTAAAAAATTACAATATAATGCCATTGAAAAATTTAAAACCAACGACTAAAAACCAGAAATCGTCAGAGGATATAATGGACAAATTTAATGCCAATTACACGCGGATCTTGGATCCATTACCAGCGGATCTTGGAGCCAGCAGTCGGATCCCTATCCAGAAAACGTTTTTTGAGCTTACTGGGCTTAGTCGACGTTGGGCCTTTATATTTCTCTCGCATTTAGTAGATCTGCATTAATTCAAAACATAATATTAGATTCGTGATTACTAAAGATATTTTCCATAACAAACAAATCTATATTTACTAACTAAACTAAACCGATATTTCGCATTTAGTAGATCTGCATTAATTCAAAACATAAAATTAGATTCGTGATTGCTAAAGATATTTTCCATAACAAACAAATCTATATTTACTAATTAACTAAACCGATATTTCAATAACAACTCAATCCCATATATTTAGATGATTCAAAGAAAACTTATCTCGACATTCTCGATTTCCTTGATTTCTTATTACTTTACCCAATAATAACAAGCTCTATATCTTCATATCCGAATATACCTTAACTATTCTTATTCTCAAATCTTCTCTTAGGCGGGAATTTTCTAAACCCTAAGCAACCCTATACTTTCTCCATCTCTTATAAATATAGAAATCAAACGACATTCTCAATACACACTAAGCTATCAAACTCAAAGCATACCTCTCAAACAATGGCTCTTCCCATCACAGAACTTAATGCAGTCAAACCATTCAAGACTCAATGGAAGATCCAAGTGAAAATCGTCCATTCATGGACTCAATACACCCAATATTCCGGGGAGACTGTCGAGATGATTCTTGCTGATACATCTGTAATTTACGATTTATCAATAGTATAGATTTACTCTTCTAATGATTATTTGTAAATAAAATGTTTAATTATCTTTTTTTGCTAAATACAGGGTACCTTGATTCATGCAACTGTCAAGAAACAACAAGTCAACAAGTTTCAAAAGCTTATCACAACTGGAGAGTGGAGAACTGTTGAAAATTTTACAGTTGCAAAATCTACTGGAAAGTACCGGCCTACCAGCCTCCCATTCAAGATGACCCTCATGAATACGACTGCTATAAGTCGTATTCCCTCAATTTCTGATGACCTTTACTTTGATTTTGCTAACTTTCCTGACATTCTGAATGTTAATGGATTGAATGAAAACATTTTGATTGGTATTTTCCATTCTGCCTATTTCTTTCTATAGTGTTTAAATCTTAAGAAAATAACAAACTAACATCATTTCATATATTTACAGATGTTCTTGGTCAGGTCGTGAGTTTAGGTGAGATGACAACTCACGATGTCAACAACAAAGCCACCAAAAGATTTGAGTTTGAGCTGCGTGATACAAAGTTTGTAATCTATTTACTCTTTTAATTTTTACAAGCAACTGTCTATTTTTAAAATACAAAGTCTGTCATTTGTCTATTATAGTGATGAACGCTTGACATGTACTCTTTGGGGGAGATTTGCTGAGAGAATGTGGGATGCATGTCAAAATGGAGGCAATGAAAGGGTCATTTGTTTGATTCGCCTTGCTAAAATTGGTACATTCAAAGGTATATTGATTAGGTTTTTGGACGTGTGGATGCTTAATATGTTTATATTATTACTATATATTACTAATATATTGCAAATTTATCAGGTGAAAGATCTATTTCAAATGCCTTCGACATGTCTTTGTTGGAAATAAATCCAAACTATCCTGCTGTCCAAGATTTTGTGAACAAGTAAGTTTGTGAAAAAACTTATAATATACCTAATATATGATTTTCTAACGTATACACTTATATTTTCTCTTATCTTACATTGAACAGCTTGCCAGCAGACGTCCCTGCACTTACTATTCAAGAAGTGATGCCTAAGGATGCCAAAATCATTAAGAAGAAGGCATATTTTCAGACTTTTCCCAGGAAAACCATTTCTGAACTTTTTGAGGCCACTGAGGTAACTATTTTCCATAGATTTTGAAAGCAAATCTATATATTTAAATATAAAGACTAATATGTTTCTACTATGTGTGTAGGTTGGTAAGTGCAATGTTATTTGTACTATCTTGAAAGTGGACACAGACTATTCTTGGTATTGGTTTAGCTGTCTAAAGTGTAGCAAGACAGCATATAAGATACCAAAAATTGAAAATGAGATTGTCAAAAAAGGGAAGAAGCCATTGTTTTGGTGTCCAACATGTAAGGAAGATACTCCTAAGGTCCTACCAAGGTAACTACATTATTTATGTTCTTTGGATACACGATATTTTATAAGATTCTGGCTAACTCCATCTTCAATGTTAAATTTTGTGATATAGGTACCTTTTAAACCTTGCAGTCATGGATAACACTGGAAATACTATGTGTAAGTTGTTTGACAAAACAGCAGCTGAGATCATCGGAGTGTCTGCAGAGGGTCTTTTGGAAGGGAATTGGGATGAGGTAATACTATTTTACAATGAGTTATTATCAATAGAAATTGGTATTACAATTACTAATAATGAATTTACCATACTTGACATAACAGATAAAGGATCCAACTAATTTGCCCGGACCTATTAAAGATTTGGTTGGAAAAACATTCCTGTTTGTTGTCAGTATTGGAAAGGAGAACATCAATGACACAGATGACACATACAAGGTGTTCAACGTCTGGTTGGGTAATGATTTATATGATAATGATAATGTTGAAGAATCCGAGAACCAGAATGATCAACATACTGACCTGTCTATTGATCAGGTAATGTAAACAATTGGTGCACCCAAACAAGTTCTATCAAATACTTATTCAACTATATCACTAAAGGGCAGGATCTTATTCAAAGATTAGTGAGTACCACCTATTGTTTTGAAATATCGAATGGTGTTTAAACATTGTTAACTAAGTGGCATCAAAACTCTTTTATATACTATTTTCACTAATATATACAATGGTTGCTGCTTTGAAACAGGAAGCACTTGCTTTGACTAATAGTAGTGACAACACAGATGTCAACACTACTTCTTCTGCTACTCCTTCTTCAAAGAGAAGTAATGAAAGTTCTGACGAAGCTGAAGGGCAGTCTTCTACTACTAAAAAGGTTTGTGTCTCTTCAATTCGTGAGAAGATTGAAGAGGAGAAGATTGAAGAGCAGAATGTTGAAAAGCAGAAGATTGGAGACGAGAAGATTGAAGATGAGAAGATTGAAGAGGAGAAAATTGAACCTAATTAGAATGTGGGATCTGTGGTAAAGTGGGGCAGGGTAAAGTGGATCATGGAAGTTGTTCTATTATTATGGTTTTTCTGTTTTCCCTATTTTCAGAATTATTATGTTATTTTGTTTCATGTTTGCTACTCCAGTTATTTTCATTTCAATCAATAAAGACTTTTGAATTTAGAGTTTACTAACCTCGTGTGAAATCTGCTTCAAGACTGAAGCTTGGCCACTTCCATCCTTCTTTCCACATTCAATAATCCTGGAGACAATACAAATTAATAGTATAGATATATATATTTGAACAAGCAATCAATGAAAATCAATAACTACAATATACATAGTCACATAAATAGTACTTTTGCTTATAAAGCACAACTTAATCAAATTATAGATATATTTATGAACAATCATGCAATGAAAATCAATAAATACAATATACATACTCACAGAAATATTGTACCTTTGCTTATTTCGAAAATCAAAACAGTTGGATTGATAAATTATATCACAACAATCAAATTCAAAAGTCTTTAAAATATCCATATAAACTAACATAATATTTGCATATCAAAATATAATACCTACTTCCTATATCTGTTTGAGAAATATTACCTAATCACCTAAAC